GTACGTAGAAGGCGTAGTGTTTGCAAATGCAGGCGTCAGGTTGTTTCGTAGCGGACTTGGATCGGGAACCGAAGTCGAGGCAGCAGGAGGTTGGGATGGAGGAGGTGGATAGGACTTGGTTGCTGGGAAACAGGCGGAGGAGCAGGCGCAGGTGCAGGCGCAGGAGGAGGGGGGGGAGGAGGAGCTGTGTACGGATTTGATGGGCATCTGCGAAAACTGGAAATGCGGATTGGGCATGTTGGCTTGCCCATTCGGTGGTGGATGGGTGTAGGAGGTATTCATCTGAGGCATATACTGTGGCGTTGGAGGTGGCATCGATGGTGGTTGAGAAACTGGCGGAGGAGGCGAAGGACGTCTCTTCTTCTCTTTTTCTACCGAAGCCCCAGGTCGCAGCTGCCACGACCAGCCCTTGCCATCTCTTTCGGCGTGCATGAAGAGGTGACTATTACCGTTGAGGTTGTGTCTCACACTAGATGTCCATCCCTCCGTCTCGCATTTGAAGCGGAAATAGGGGTACTTCAGCTTCAGAGCACGATAGATCTGCTTGAGAGTCATCGGCGTCCCAGCCTCGGTAAGCGCATCGAAAATGAGCACCGCGTAGTTGTAGGGCGGCTTGGCCAGATCTTCTGGCGTGTATGCTGATTCAGGCGGGTAGTTAGGAGACGGTGAGCGAGATGGCTTGCGCTTCTTGACGGGAGGTGCCTTGACGAACTCCTCCGGACGATGTTCCATGGGAAATTGGCCACCCTCGGTCGAGGGTATGGGAAAGTCCATAGGGGTTCCATCGGGCTTCTTCCGCTTGGTGTACTTCCTCTTTTCCGGCTTGGATCCGGGGGACTCTCCGCCAGCGGGTTCTTTTGGTGTTGCTGTAGGGGCAGTGGTTGCTGTAGTCTTGCCCGCCTTTGCCCGATTAGCGGGCGGAGGCGTGACACCACCGTTTGCCTCGCGTTTCGCGGCCAGCTTCTGTTCGCGAGCCAACTCTGCCCGTTCACGTTTCGACATGATGCCATCCTTGGGAGGTCTTCCGGGACCGCGGCGGCGAACAGGGGGTTGAACGCCATCTCCACTCCCTTCAATTGAGGGGACGGGACGTGAGTCTGACTCCTTAGTCTTTAGGATGATCTTCGTAGACTTCTGGCCGTCCTTGTTCTCTGAAGTAGAAGCCTGGCGTTTCTCGCCTTCGGGCTCATTCTCCGCAGGGACTGATGATTGAGCCTGTTCATCCTCAGGAACGAAAGGCTCTTCGACTCGATCGGCCCCTGTTTCACCAATTGGCACATCGGGAAGCAAGAAGCGGATGCGAACCCCTCCAATCTGAATGTAATCACCGCTATGTAGTGGTCTAATCTGGCCAGGGGATAACCAATCTGCTCCGATGAATGCGCCATTTCTTCCCATAACCTCCATTTCGAAAAGATTGCGATCAAAATTGTACGCGATCTTCACGTGTTTTCGGGAAATGCCCCGATGACCAGCGGCACTGCCATCAACCGTGGCCGGGGGATGGATGGGGATGGTCGGGCACGCATCGGGAGACGGAAGCAAAGCTAACGTGTCGACAGGCTTTGCATCGCCCCCAGCTTCATTGAGTGACTGCATGGCAAGAGCATTGTAGTCGGTAGTACCGTTGTTGGACTGAAGCTGTGCCGGGGTAGCATGCAGCGGCGCGCCGGATTCACCATGTGAAGAATTGGACGACCGTCGACTCAGGCGCGGGGGAAGATGCGGTGGGACATCAGGGTCAAACCCCATGATGCCGCCGCGGTCGCTTACCACACTACCTATGATACCGCTGCCTTCATGCTTCACCCGGACGGGTGTATGAGAGGTATTGCCACCGCTTGAGCTCTTTGCGCGCGAGTGCCTCATCGCCTGTCGAACCTGCATTTCACGTTGATGGGCAGCTCTGGCAGCGCGAACGTCTCGACCAAGAATGAAAGAATACGTGTTGCAATAGAAATGGCCATCATCGAATTCCAGTTTCGCAAAAGCCTGAATCCGAGGCTCAGATCCAGCGACTGAACCGGTGCCATCTTGGATTAGATGCCCTCCGGAGTAACCCAGCGCTGATAGATCAGCACTTTGCGAGAGATAGGCTGCAGTCAGCATCTCATTTTGTTGCAGCGCCTCCAGAGGGGTCTTCGGAGCGGTCGTGATATCAAAGGAGGGAAAGAGATCGGTCGGGTCGAGGCCCGTTTTCGAGAATAACAAGGGATCAGTCAGGCCTTCGATTGAATCATTCGTCTTCTCCGGAGCCTTTTCGACATTCTCTGCATTCGACATGGATACGTCTGCGGATTGTTCTGAATTTTTCGCCGCTTCCTGAGCGTCTGTTGAAGGGCCCGGGAGGTCGTCTGGTTCTGATCCGCGGCGCCTTCTAGATCCTGCCTCCTGACGTCGACGGTCTACTGAAGAGTCGACCCGACCAGAAACCCCTTCAAATCCCTCTCCCT